CAGACCTGGATTTGAATCTTATTAGGCTACTGGCCCCAGGGTCTTGGGCAATTTGATCAAACTTGTTTTCTTTATTTGCAAAGCGGGGATGAAGCTGCCTTGTGTCATCACTGTTATACAAATTAAGGGGGGAAATTGTGTATATGTAGCAAAGTTCCTGGCACTCAGAGTCAGCACTAATTAAACTCGGTCTCTTATTATAAAGGGCAAGTTTAAAGTGGGAATTAAGAGCTTGAACTCCAGGGACGCCTGGGTGGCTCAGTTGTTAAGTGTCTGCCTTCCGCTCAGGTCATGATCTCAGGGTCCTGGGATCGAGTCCCGCATCGGGCTCCCTGCTCGGCAGGAGGCCTGCTTCTCCCTCTCCCACTCCCCCTGCTTATGTTCCCTTTCTCGCTGTGTCGCTCTCTGTCAAATAAATAAATAAAATCTTTAAAAAAAAGAGCTTGAACTCTGGGGCTGGCCGAACTGGGCCAGAACCCCCACTCTGACAATTCCTAGCTATGTGACCTGGGACAAGTCACTTCACCTCTCTGGGCCACAATTTCTTTTTCCATTAAATGGGAATAATGTGGCATAAATCTCGTAGGGTTGTTATGAACATTAACCCAGTTCCTATCTAAGAAGTACTTAGAATGGTGGGTGATAGCAGACGGACTGGAAGAGTTTGCTGTCATAGCTACAGTGATCTCTCAAGTCAGCGAACAGGAGCCTTCTGACCGTGACTGGCCATGACTTCATTTACTAACCAGCTATTTATAGAGCACCTGTCAGCACAAGCACTGAACTAGGTGTTAGGGGGGCACTGAAAACACACTTTTCTGCCCCCAAAGACCACAAACCCTAAAACAGGAAGGATGGTTAATAACATCAACCAACATGCTACGTGACTAGATGGTACGAATAATGGGTGAGAAATTCAGAGGCACAGGGTCTACCTGAAAGTAGAGGCAAGTACAAAGAGAGAAGGAATAGCGAAAACATTAAGTTGCCTCTTGCAGGAAGAGTAAGAGACACCAAACAGAAAGCCCTAGGCCTTGGAAGGATGCAAACAAGAGGCAGTTACAGTTGTGTGATGGTCGTCCCAAGGACCAGTGATGGTACTGTGTGTCTGGAAGGGAAGGCAGGAAAGGAAAAATCTGGTAGGGAATAGGTGGGGGCCAGTTTGTGAAGGGCCTTCACCCTGGGCTGGTGCCTCAATGTCTCAGCTGTAGGCAGCGGGGAATCAAATCGTTTACCGGTAGTTTTAAACCTTAATGTGGACAAAAATTACCCATCTATTAAAAAAAAAAAAAAGTAGAAGTGCAAACATAGAGTCCCCTCTGCACACATATGAAGTCAGAATCCCTAAAGCTGAGGCTCAGGCACGTGTACAGTGAAAGAATCCACAGGCCATTGTGACACTGACCAAAAGCTAAAACCCACAGCTGCAGAGCCTTCCATGGCAGAGGGCTCAGAAGAAAGGAAACGAAGATTTGTTGAGTGCTCCACACATGCCAGGTGACTCACAGCTATGATTTCAGTTAGTCCCCACAACAATCCTGTGAGAACGACATCATTATTCTTACCGTAGGCCTAAAAAAGCCGATAACTCGTTGCAAATGCAGAAGGTCACAGACTAGGCATGCAAACACAGGTCCCAGGCTCCAGGACCACTGCATTTCCCACCGTATCCCATAAACCTCCCAATAAACACCCGAGTGCATTTTTCCCTTGACGTTTACTGCACCTTATAAACACTCCTCCCACCCTCATTTCTCTCCTCCAGTGGTATCTAAATTTTACCTTCCCTGTGTCCTGAAACTGAGCCCAAACCACTGAGGGCTATCATTTCAAGCTAAGTTTATTTTTTAAAGCAGGCTTCTCCTACCTTTCTCTTTCTCCCACCCTTTTCTCTCTAATGTCCCCTAATCCACTCTACAGAGTTTTGAAACTCTTCATTTTCAGAGTAGAACACAAAATGAAACCTGAAATCTTAAATAATTCCATTTGTGGTTTTCTTTTACCCTAAAGCTGATGTAGGGTGGCAACAGGGGGGTTTTGTCCACGGTAGACTTCACACAAAATCCAAAGGAAATGATGTCGATGCTCTGTTTAGCTTTTTCTTTTTCTGTGTTTTTTTTTTAAGATTTTATTTATTTATTTAGAGAGAGAGAGTGGGGAGAGGGGCAGAGGGAGAGGAAGAGAGAGAATCTCAAGCAGACTCCACATTGAGCACAGAGCCTGACACGGGGCTCAATTTCACGACCCTGAGATGACCTGAGCTGAAATCAAGAGTCGGACACTTTACCCACTGAGCCACCCAGGGGCCTCTTAGCTTTTTCTAATATCCACCATTAAACATTAGAGCACTAGGAAACTGCTCATTATTTTAATCTAAGCAAGCTCCTCATTTTGAAAGCGAGCTTCTGCTGGTAGAACTTTACCCACTGTGTGTGTGTATGGGTCTGTGTGTGTCACCAAGAGACACTTCATATCTTAAATCAGTACTGTGTTCTCCATCTGCATGTAAGATTCTCACCTTACAATGCATCTTTCTATTTTTTCCCCAAAAGCGTGTTAGTTTCTCAGATCGAATGCTTAATTTTTCTGACTTGCTGTCAGTCACATGATGTAAGAAGACATTTCCTTCCCTTTATACTTTCTTAATTCTTTCACAATTGATTATTTTACAGTTTATTTTTCTCCCACTCTAAATTGGAACCCTGGGTAAATACTGAGCAGCTTTTCTTTCCAGCTTTAAATGTTCTTCAGAAGGAATTGACCAGTTGTGCATTCCTTCATCCACATCACTGAGGGAAATGTCCATCAGCCTGAGGCTCAGTCTCATGAGAATTTTCCTATAAGTGCCTGAAAGGACCTGAACATGATTTCTTAACCAAATAGGTTCAGACATACCATCTATGCCTAAACTCTAAATATCCACTTTGGCAAGTGACACTTTCATTTCTCCAGGAAGAATCAATTACCCATGTTAGAATGCCATAATGACACTTTGAATTCTCTACATACCACTGGGTACACATTTGCGGATGGTGTAATGCAAATCCCAAGGAGTGACAGTCACCTAGACTGCAATGTGAATAGTGCCTTCTGGAGTTGAACAGTACACATTCCACTCAACCATACATAGCAGCCCTTCAGTAGAAAACTTATTTTCCCTTAATGTAAATAGTTTTCTGTATCCTTAATAGTTAATGGCCATTTATAGATATTTTGCTTGCCTGAATATTACAATCAAGTTCTTGTGAATTAAAAATTAGTGATACTGGGGTGCCTGGGTGGCTCAGTCATTAAGCGTCTGCCTTCGGCTCAGGTCATGATCTCAGGGTCCTGGGATCGAGCCCTGCATCGGGCTCCTTGCTCAGCAGGAAGCCTGCTTCTCCCTCTCCCTTTCCCCCTGCTTGTGTTCCCTTTCTCGCTGTGTCTCTCTCTGTCAAACAAATAAAAAATCTTTAAAAAAAAATTAGTGATACTTACTTTTTATTGTCCCCATATTTGCATTATTTCTGGAATAGCCTGATTTTGTTTTAAAAAAAAAATGTTCTAAAGTCATTGAGATGACTTGAGAGATGAGAGATGGTATTATCCTCAGGAAGTGAAAGTGGGGTGTAGAAAAGGAGAGTCATCGACGGGAAGCAAAACATCAGATCCATCACACCAAAGAGACACTAAACATGGTCATTGTTATTTCAAAACATAAAGTTGACTCCATATTAATAAATACGTTTAACACTGAATGTAGAAAAACTATTGTGCATGCTCTAAGAAGACAACTTACTAAAGAATTAGAAGAAAGGTAACGTTTTACCCCTAGGCCATTGAGAAAACAACCTGGGAGTAGGAGTAGCTTCATGGATATTACGTACAATTGGGGGAGGGAAAGAGAGGAGGTGATAAAATCAGGAAGAATTTTCTGCTCTCCTTTCTCACTAGAGCCTTAAAGTTAGAAACCCAAAACTGGAAAATGCACCTCCACACACATACCTGGGGTTTTTCTCAAACTGGGGTTAGAATCATTCGTTGGTGGACAGGTCCAAAGTTGAAAACAGGTGCCCCATTTGAATCTAGGTCAGATCACTCTGGTTGGTAATGGGTTCATGAGGCCCTGCAGAGGCCAAGCAAGGGCAACTACAGCTTGTGCCTAAAGCTCAGGGACAACGAGAGTATCATTGACCGGGGAATTAAAGGCGCTGCAGTGTAGACGGCCACCTCCGTGAGTTCTGTCTGGACTTAAGTCGTCTCAGTGCTTTGTCCAAGCCCATCATTCAGTCTGCCTGCCTTCAGTCCAGCCCCCCAGGCCCTTCACCCATGGAGGGAACCCATCTGACCACTTTTTCCTGCAAACATTCAATTGAAACAGAACCTCAAAGATTTGGAGTTCCCGCTCCTAATTATAATCAATGATAGAGAAATGCTCCGGAAAGGGACGAAGATACATGTGTCTCAGATCAGCCTCAAGTGGGAGGGGAATATGCCAGCTCTAGGTGGCTTCAGGGCATGGAAAAGACCCTCGGCTATGCCTGGTTTCCTTGGGTCATTTGCTCAGAACATAGAACTTTCCAGGCTCTAGTAAGTGATAGAAGGCTTCAACCTAAAAGCTGCCACTGGGGCACTCGCTTTCAGGAAGTTTCTGGTCAGAGTGAGGAAGGAAGAAGAAAGTTCTCCTTCATGATGCATGAGCAAGAGGACGTGGCAAACGGGAACAAGAGGTTTATGCCTGGCCCCTTCAGTACAGATTGGGAACAGATTTAAAGGGAAGAATGCATCCGGTTCCGAAGGCCAAGACTGAGCCTAAGAGTGACACTTCCTTACTGGGCAACTAGAGACATTTTCACTTCCATGGGTATTAGAATCACAGGGCTTTTGGCTCTGCAGCTCGGGCCTGGAGAGATTAAGCGGTGAAGCCCGGCCACACAGTTTGTTATATCTGCTTGGGGGACACAGAGAGGCTTCAGTGAGCAATGTGGTCGGTGCAGGTGAACAGGACGCAGCATGTGGTTAGTTACATTTCAGAACCTCTGCAGACGAAAATTTCCCAACTCCTGGCCCTTTCTCATCGATGTGTCACCAGAAGTGGACAGGTCCCAGACCCAGCCTCTCCGTGGGGTTCCCCTGGGAGAGTGACGATGAGCTGCAGAAATATTCTCACTTCCCAGTCCGGGAGGCCACCTGGATGGCTTTGATCCACTCAGTACGCTCCTTGGAGGTGGCCGCTTGCAAGAAATAATGAACTTCCTCAGCAGTGATGATCTCAAAGAGGTTCTCTTCTTCACTCTTCCTGACTGCTGAAAAAGAAAGTGAATGACAGCACGCGTGCACCGGAAAGACCGCCCAGTTCACCCTCCTTTTGTAAGGAATGCAATTTTAAGTTTGTTAGTGTCCTAAGAAAATTAAATATATGGTTTTCAAACTTACCATCATTGTATGATCATATATATTTATTGTATAATTATGTGTATATATATATATAGTATTTATATAGATAGGTACATAGTATGATTCCATGCATGTGTATGAGTATGTGTGCTTAAGAAATCAGCAAAATACTCAAGGACAAACATTTTCTTTTATAGTTTACAAGCAAACTAAATTTCTCACTTTTGCACACCAATTGTGTCTAATGAGTACCTCTAATAGCGCCTAATGAATACATTTCCTCTGCTCATACTATGAACTAAGAGCTGACTCTGATATATTAAAAATAAAAACAAAACCAAAAACCCAGACCCACTTCCAGTACCACCAGTATAGCCTGAACTTGTTTTTACCACAGGCTAAGTTAGAGTCTCTGCTGAAAGACCGAAAAATAGTAATCTGGCCAATAATGTGACTTAAAGCATCCACATCAAATCAAAAATCATCATTCTATGAGGAGAGGACAGTGAGCAGATAGATCTCAGGAGTAGTAAAAATCTAGCTCTTCCAGCTGTGGTGTTTTCCTGGCAGCCTCTATAACATCATAAGCCCAAAACGACATGGCAAAACCAGGGCGGGGCTGCCTAAACCACCTCTCCCCTGGGACACCCCTCATTCCCGCACCTGTGAATTTGGCCTACACCAGCATGGTTATTCCATGCACCACATCTTCGACTTGTGATCTGGGACCCAGAGGTCACTAGTGTGACCCCTCATTCCAGAGGAGGAGCTAAGGCCCGGATTCATTAGGTGATTCACACAAGACCATGCCACTAATCGACTAGCATAGACATAACTTATAAACCAGGTGCACCTTCCACTCACTACCCTGACTCACTGCACAAATCGGTGGGAGATTTCCTGGTCTGGATATGTTAAAGGGCCGCTTTAAGGAATGGCATGGCTCAATTACAGGCATCAAGAGGTAACAAGTCTCTCCATCTAAGCCAGCTCCGAGGGGAAGGTTTTTCTCAGCATTGCTCCAAGATTTACTCAAGGCATCTAGAAAGCCACTCCTCTTTTCCAAGGCCCAAAGAGCCAGGGCAGCATCTGGGAGAAAATAACTCTTGGTTTCTCCCAGGTGTTCAGGCAGAAATTCATTCATGCCTAGCTTGATTGATTAAGTGAGTGATCGATTGCTGTTGGTCAGGATGCCCAGGTGTGGGAAGGAAACCTGAGCAGACACACCTCTGTCAAACAAAAATTCATTCTTTTTTTTTTAAGATTTTTTTTTATTATTCATTTGAGACAGAGAGAGAGCATGAGCAGGGGGAGGTGCAGAGGGAGAGGGAGAAGCAGGCTCTCTGCTGAGCAGAGAGCCGGATATGGGACTCGATCCCAGGACCCTGGGATCATGACCTGAGCCGAAGGCAGACGTTCAACCATCTGAGCCACCCAGGCGCCCCACAAAAATTCATTCTTACCATCGGGATTGCTCTCCACTGAAGTCACCACACAGCCTCTCAAGTGAATTGCTCCCAGAGGATCCTCCCCCTAGAGAAGAGAAGAGTCCTTCATTATGTTTCCAGTGTATGAATGTGCCTTATCCCATAGGCGCAAAAGCCACACTGACTCTCTCTGGTATAGATTAGGGCATCCCAAATGGGTAAGAGCAGAAGGAGACTGAAGAAAACCCCTTCCAGAGCCTCCACCCCCCACTTTACTCAGGGAGGCTGGACAAGGAGACACAAGTCAATCTGAGTTTCCGTCCTAGAGGAAAGTGGCAGGGCAGGCGGAGAGACCGCCTCACCATGTCCCATGAGAGAACTGCTGCACGTTTCCAGAGCTCTTTGGCCCCCCTGAAACTGACACAATGGCATAACCCTCGCAGGACAGAATCAAAGAACCCTGTACTACAAGCAGAGGCTGACGACCCAACCCAAACGGAGCTGTCTTTACACTTTAGATTTGGCTCCTTTTATTAAGGAAAAGGCCCTCTTCCGAATAGCCAACAGCCCAAATGGCTGGACTTACTCAATGCTCTCATCCAAATTGGCTCACAGGAGGAATTACCACTTTTGTGCATATTAAACCAAGGACAATGAATTGGACTGGTTGAATTCCTCTGAAAATACCAGATTGGTACAAACAAAAAAAATATGTTGAGTTGACCAAGTAAGTGACAATATAGTGATATTTTCTTTCATCCCTGAGCCTATGCTGGTCTCAAAGCCTAAGACCTCACATCTTCTCAGTGAAAGGGGAGAGGAAAAGGGAGAAGAGAACAGGAGGAAAAGGAGTGGGAGGCTAAAGAGAAAATGGGGAGAGAAACCAGGCAAAAAGGAGAATGGCAGGCCCAGATAGCAGATACAGCGGAGGCTTTGAGCGCGATGGGTTTGTGGACCACAGACTCTCACCCCAGCAGGGTCATAGTAGTGCAGGTAGGCAGGGTCTTCTCTCAGAATGAACTTCCTCACTTTCCAGTTTTTCCTCCTGTGCCCCTGTATCCAGGATCAACATAAGAAGAGGAATGATGAGTTCTTGGCATTACTCTGTACACATAGTATCTACAGAATAAGTCTTTGTTGAATTGATAAAAGAAAAAAAAAGATGAAATATTATCTCCAGAAGAACCAGGGCCCAACCCAGGTCCTTGTCAGGGAGATAGCCCTAGGGCCAGTGAACAATTTGGATGTCATGATATTATGGATTAATTATTCCTTTCTGTTTTTAAAGATTTTATTTATTTGTGAGAGAGAGAGAGAGAGCACACACAGGAGGAGGAGCAGAGGGAGAGGGACAAGCAGACTCCGTGCTGAGCACAGAGCCCGACTTGGGGCTCAACACGGGGCTGAATCCCAGGACCCGAAGATCATGACTTGAGCCGAAACCAGGAGTCAGATGCTTAACCGACTGAACCACCCAGGTGCCCCATGGATTAATTACTTCTAAGATTGGCTTCAGCTTTAGTATTATATAAGATGATATTATATACAAGGTACATACATTGTATGTTATTAGGTAACATGGGGGATATAAAGAGATTAAGACATAGCCCTACTCTTCAAAGAGTTTATAACCTATGTGGAAATATAAAATAGCAAATGTCCAAATCAAATAATTGGTATGGATAATGGATTTCAAGGGAATTATATGTGGGATATGTAGTTGTGGGTTTGGGATGTCAAAGAGAGCCTCATAAAGATCTGGACGTATTCACAGAGGACACACAGGAGTCAGATGGGTGAAAAGAGGTGGATAGGAAGGCTTGACAACAAAAAAGCAGCGGTGGGAACATACCAGGCATATGCAGACATTGGTGAATAAGACCAGTCTAGCTAGAGCACAGGGTTCATGAGGAACAGCAGAGGCAAATTTGGGAAAGTAGAAAGAGACTTGAAATACAAGGCGAGGGTCGTTGCTGATAGCTTCTGAGTCAGAAGTGAAAAAAGTACAATCACATTTTAGGAAGATTAATATGGCAACCATATATAGGATGGACCAGCTGGCTAGATTAAAGATAAGCCAGGGGAAAGATAATAAGGTAAAAAGAAGGTCATTGGGAAATGATTGCAACAATCTACACATAGAATTACTAGGAACTAGTATCAGGTAGCAGCAATGGAAATGGGAAGGAGTCAGCACTGTGACAGACATGATGAAAGTGAATAGGACCTGGGCTTTTGCAACAGAATGATGTCATTTAGACTGTGAGTTTGGAAGGCAGGGTTTGTGTCTTGTTTACCTTTGTTCCTCTAATACCCAGCCCTGTGCCTGGCATAGAGAATCTCACCCCAGAAGCTGCTTCATATCTGTTTGTAATTGCCTTGAATTACCCAGTTTCTTCAATTAGCTTATAACAATTTTTTTAAATGTCATGGTAAACCTGACTTCATTATTTCCCATGGAAAGTTCAAATGACTCAAATATCTCCAATAACAAAAATATATATATGTTAGATTAGAAGATATATAGTTTCTATCTTGCCAATATGAAGCATATTATTTGTTAATTCTAAATCACCACATATTGACAGGCACACATACAAATTTTCCAGTATTTTTCGTTGTGCTCATATAGAAAATAGTGAAACATTTATGGTTTTAGCAAACAGTGCCTCCATCATAATGCCAGGTCAAAGGAGTTTGAGGAGAGCTTTCAAGAATGGGTCTAATTATTTGGCCAAGCATTTGGTCAAGGAGCTCATCTCCAAAGACGCATTTACTTGCCTGAAGGATGAAGTCGGGAACCCTATAGAGTCAAATGGGAGAACAGAGAATATTTCTATCTGTACATCATATCTAAAATGGCTTTTGCAAAGCATCAATTTCTAAAATTCTTTTTACAAATTCTTGCTCTTTGCCTTAGCTAATGTTGCCCATAAGATGAGAATACTCAAGTTTCTGCCCAACACCGTTTCCTCCTGACTTGTGCACACACATCTCAGGATCTCTCATACAACCACTGGGTGAATAACAAGTTCTTATGAATCGTGGAAGAGGAAGGCAACAGGAGGATGTGAAATCAGCCAACCCTGGCCAGCTACCTATTACCTTTAAGCCCTCACTGACATCACAATGTGATACGTTGAAAAGTTCAGTGTTAGTAAGTGGGTATCCACCATCCTTCATTTAATGAGTATTTCCTGGGGGATTTTAAGGAATGTGTGCATGCCTGGGGTTTCTAAGAATTGTTGCTGATCTGCCAGCTACTTATATTCATTTGATCTACAAAGGTTTATTATCTATTATAGACCAAGGATGCTGAACTGTGCAACAGACATGAGAAAAACACATTATCCCTCATCAAAAAACCTACACGTGGTTGAGAAATTAGATATTTTATTCATTGTCACAACAGAATGAATTATATTAAAGGCATTATATTGAATATAATTCATTATCATTCATCCTCAAACTTGCTGCATCCCCCAAGTAGAATTATTTCCTCTGGGATGGGAGAAGTGGGAAGAATAGGGGGATGATCGGCCTCCAGCTGGACACAGCTACTTTCTACCTGTGAGGTGTGGGATGTAGGTGTCCTTTTTCATGATAAGTCTTCTACACATGTTAACCCTGGCTAACTCCCAGCGGCAGACACAGAGTGGTTTAGCTTTATGACACTTGAAAAAAAATTTTTAACTCCCTTGGGTAGTTTTGATATGAACCAGGTTATAAACCACTGAGCTAAGAGGTTGGAAACATTAAAGGGGGGGCCATCAATCAAAATAAAAGAGGTTTCTGTTCCCTCTCTCTCCCCCAAAAATTAGAGGAAAGAATATTGGAAATGAACAAAATTCCTGAATGCACATAGATTTCTGTTTTCTTTATGTTACGAGGAGCCTAAGAGGGAGACTATTTAAATAGTGGGGGGTTTTTTAAAGATTTTATTTATTTATTTGACACAGAGAGAGAGATAGGAACACAAGCAGAGGGAGTGGGAGAGGGAGAAGCAGGCTTCCCGCGGAGCAGGGAGCCTGATGCGGGGCTCAATCCCAGGACCCTGGGATCATGACCTGAGCCAAAGGCAGATGCTTAATGACTGAGCCACCCAGGTGCCCCTAAATAGTGGTATTTTGATAATAGGATAAATTCACTTTTAAGAAAAAGGCTAGCTCTGTGGTTCTCAGCCTTGGCCACACATCAGAATCACTTGAAGGGCTATAAAATCCAGAGACTGATTTAATTGGCCTGGGGTGCAATTTTAACAGATCCCTGGAGGATTAAAATGTGTACCAACTGGGCTAGCTAAGGCTAAATTGTACCTATCAAAAGCCAAGTAAAGGGATGTGAAGAAAAACACAGAAGTAAGCCTACTTCAAGTCTCCGGTATCTTCTACACACACTCAGATAACCATTACCCTCAGCCAATTTTTTGACTGTCCAGGGCACCCATTGGGGTGCTTTGCCCAAACATGACTTCAATCCAACCCAGACTTTGTCTACCCTTTTCAACCTTCATGTTTACTTTTCTCAGGGCTGCACTCTAGACTAAGACTTGTCAACTAAGTCAAGAACAGTCAAACTGATAACAAAATAGAATTATAGACAGAATCAACAAAATAAGGAAATAATGAAATTCCTTCCCAAGTTCCTCTTGTCTTAACATCCACCTTCCATCCCCTATAATCAAAGAGCCAGGAACATGGGAACATTTGGCAGAACCAGAGGGAGCTGGTGATGGGCAAAATTCACAATTGCCAGAACCTTCCCTATCGAAGGCTGGCCCTACTCCTATACTTTCCTTCAATCTAGTCAGTGGTCCCCCTGTCATAAAAGTTGTTAGAATCATCTGTGAATTAATTCTTTCTACATCTTTGCTGTAGTATCTCTTAGGACCCTGTTCTCTCAAAACCTGATGTTAAGGTCAGTTTTTCACATAATGACCCACTTCCCTGAGTGAAATTCAAAATCCATATCTATACCTAATTTCAACTAGTCCAAAGTTCTTTTTAAATGTGAATATAGGGGGCGGCTGGGTGGCTCAGTCGTTAAGCGTCTGCCTTCGGCTCAGGTCATGATCCCAGGGTCCTGGGATCGAGCCCCGCATTGGGCTCCCTGCTCAGCGGGAAGCCTGCTTCTCCCTCTCCCACTCCCCCTGCTTGTGTTGTCTCTCTCTCTGTCAAATAAATAAATAAAATCTTTAAAAAAAAATTAAATTAAATTAAAAAAATAAATGTGAATATAGGCTCAACTTCAGTTCTTTCCTCTTCACCCTGAAAGTTCGGGGTCCTTTTATGAGGTAAGTTAAATCTCAGTCCCATACTTTATATACTAAGCAGTGCCTGGAAGACAGCTCACAGCACAGCTGGGAAAGCAAAACCTTGGCTTTAGAAAGCAGCTTTAGTTTCTATGATACCATACACTAGGATCAGTTTTCTCACCCTGAATATTCCCACCAAGCCAGGTGCTGGCCCTGGCTTCCTCATTCAGCTCCTGCCTTTGCATCTGGGAACCAACTAGAGTTCTTCAGTCCACCCTAGCCGTTGCCTCCCCAACTGACAGTGGCCTGCCTGTGCCTGTGGGGACCTGTCATCTAACCACCCGTGACCTCCCCACAGGATGGAGCGCATGCCGTAGGACTGGATTGGACCTTTGTCTGCTGTGGGCCCTGCAGAATTGGCTTCAGGTGTGCCCTGGATTCGGTCTCCCCATGTCCTACCCACAGTCTGGGATACGATTTCCTTGCTTTCAGTGGTACATGATCTTCTCCAAATGCCATTTGGTAACATAGAAGTAAAAAGGACTTGGTAAGAGGAAAAAGACAAGAAGGGAATAGTGGTGGCCACTCACCTGCTTCAGTAAACATCCCTGCTTGATAATGACCCCTCTGAATTCTTCTTTCAGAATCACATCATCATCACTGGAATTCTCTTCACAGAAGAACCCGCTATCTGGCTATTGGGAAACCAAACAGCAAGTTTGTTTACCAGTCTTAGGCAGATGGTTACTTGTACCTTTTCCTTTCTCTCTCTGCCCTCCAGCCACTGGAGTAGGCTCCTTTTCTCCTTCCTACTGTGGTTCATACCCCAACCTAAACTTTAAAGGTCTTCCTTGGGGGCGCCTGGGTGGCTCAGTCATTAAGCATCTGCCTTTGGCTCAGGTCATGATCCCAGCGTCCTGGGATCGAGCCCTGCATCGGGCTCCCTGCCCCACGGGAAGCCTGCTTCTCCCTCTCCCACTCCCCCTGCTTGTGTTCCCTCTCTCCCTGTGTCTCTCTGTGTCAAATAAATAAAATCTTTAAAAAAATAAAAAATAAAGTTCTTCCTTGATGAGCTCATGTCCCCTCCCCATTTCTTGTCTCTAGCTGCTTGTTTCATGTTGCTAGATGCTCTCTCATCTCCACTCAAGTGTGACCTTGTCAGTATCCGTTCATTTTCTTGGGTTCCCCAAGTGATACTGTAAGTCTAACTCAGCACATTTCTTCCTTGCTCAAAGCCTTCCTTCTCTTGGCCCCTCATGGCCACGTCCTTGAAAGCAGAGTTGGCTCATACATAAGACACTGCATGACACAATCTCCATTATGACCTTTACTACTTAGCCCCTTCTACTATGAGAAGACCAAGAGCATGATGGGTCCATCCAGCCTCATGTTCTGAGGTCAAGAGGGAACTGGGACTTGCTCAGCTATAAGCTGGTAATGAATCATACAGAGGAAGAAAAGCCGCTCTGGCGGGTATTTTTAGAATCCCACATTTAAATGGCTATAAACAACCAGATCAAAGGTCTGGAAGAAAAAAAAAAAAACTGACAGTGGAACTTCCCCCAAAGTGAAATGAAACTCTCTCGGGGATATTCACTTCATTTTTGTAAGAAGATGGTTCTCTTAAGTAGCTTCCTAACTTTTGCTCTCAGACCCCAAATTGAAACAAAACCGCCAAAATCCCCCTAGAAACCCACGGTTCTTGGCTTTCTCATATGGTGCAAGATTAGGTCCATATTGTGCAATGTAGTGTTTCCCAATCTGGGATAAGCGTACATAGGAGATAAACTAGATGATTGGGGGAGAGGATGTGGATGGACACCTTCTGTGTTAAGAGTAGTGTATTATAATGGATGGGACTGGAGGAGATTATGCTAAGTGAAGTAAGTCAAGCAGAGAAAGTCAATTATCATATGGTTTCACTTATTTGTGGAACATAAGGAATAGCATGGAGGACATTAGGAGAAGGAAGGGAAAAAGGGGGGGGGGGAATTGGAGGGAGAGATGAACCAAGAGAGACTATGGACTCTGAGAAACAAACAGGGTTTTAGAGGGGAGGGGGGAGGGGGGATGGGTTAGCCCAGGGATGGGTATTAAGGAGGGCACGTACTGCATGGAGCACTGGGTGTTATACGAAAACAATGGATCGTAGATCACTACATCAAAAACCAATGATGTATCGTATGGTGACTAACATAATAAAATTTAAAAAAATAAATAAAAAGATAAAAAAGGAGTAGTGTATTATAATATATATTTGGAAAAATGCAATTGGCACATTGTGATTTTACAGATCTCACTCTGGAAAGGAAGCTCCCTGAGAGCCATAATATTTGCCCCCCCACCTTTTTTTTAACTGCTGTATCTCCTTTGTCTAGGAGAGTGCCTGGAATGTACTAGGGTCTAATAAGTTTTTATAAATGAATTACTGCTTAGACTAAGAATAAAGTTTTAAAAGTCAATTTAAAATAAATTATTCAAGTAAACAACCTTTTTCTTTAAACTGAATCACTGGATATAGCAGGCATTGCAGAGGAGGACAAGTCAGAGACATCTCACTACTCTCCATGGGGCTGGGTCCTATCTTTTGCACAGGTAGATATATATTAAAATCAACGTAGAATCTGCGAGGGGCAGCACCCGTTCCAGGAAGAGTAACTGGGTAGCATTTCTCACTTACAAAGTAGTAGAAGGCATCGGCGTTGTCCAGGAAAGGGTTTTCAGCAGTTCCATCTGCTGCATTCTTGGACAGTTCTCCAGCGGGCTGCAGGTACCCTTCACCGAGCAGCGAGGAGGCAATCATGAGGCCTTCCTGGCGATTCCGAACAGACTTATTGGACACCAGCCAGTCAATGACACAGTTACCTGGATGGGATCATCAGAAGGAAGGTTAACGCTCCTTACCAAAGTACCAAAGAACAAGCCACTGACAGTCACCCCTGAAGAGCTCCAGAGCCCCCACGTGTCTGACTTGTCCCGTATTCCCTGTTATTCCAAGAAGGAAAAATGAGATCAGTGGGATAGATACTTGAAAACAAAAGGCACTCTGTGGAAGGTTTTTAAAAGCATCTACATGCTCCTTCAGGAGCAATGCATGCATCAAAGAAATAGGTGTTACTAACTCACTCATTTACTCCATTAATGAACAGACACTTATTGAGCAACTACTGGGTGCTAAGTGCAGTGATGGATATTGGGGATGCTCCCTCGGGGAGTCTGAAAGGAAGAGATGGGATAAACTTAAGGACTGTAACAAGCCTTCTGCCTTCTGCTGTGGATCAATGCAATACAGTGGAGCTACAGGGTCAAATCTGCAAGAAAGTGTGAAATAGGGTGGTAGGGTAGGGGGGCTGGCGTGCACTGTTGGGAAAGAATTCATAAAGGAAGTAGCACAGGGCTCAGGCTTAAAATATGAGTAAGTGTTTGCCAAGCACGTGAAACAGGGGAACCAGCACAGGTTGAGGGAGCAGCAGCATGGGAACAGAGCCTCACAGGCATGAAGCAGCCCCTTTGGGGGGTGGAGGGCAGAGCTGGTGAAAAGAAGGTGAAACGAGAGAGAGGAAGGCACAAGGTGAGTGGGAGCACTTTGACGGCATATTAAGAAACTTGGCAGTGAAGAACCATTGCAAGTTTTTTGTTTTTTGTTTTTTTTTTAAGATTTTATTTATTTATTTGAGACAGAGAGAATGAGAGAGAGAGCACATGAGAGGGGGGAGGGTCAGAGGGAGAAGCAGACTCCCCGCCAAGCAGGGAGCCCGATGCGGGACTCGATCCAGGGACTCCAGGATCATGACCTGAGCCGAAGGCAGTCGCTTAACCAACTGAGCCACCCAGGCGCCCACCATTGCAAGTTTTTAAGCAGAAAATAACATGATCAGACATGTATGGTCCTAAATTAAAATTTGATCACGTCACTTGCAGGGTCTAGTAATGACCTTGAGAAGTCATCTACTCAAACTTCTGCCTCAAGAGAGGATTGCAGAGAGGATAAAAGGAAATTGACCCATCAACTGGATTATTAGCAGGCTACAGTGAAGCTTTGTATTAAAAATGGCATATTCTGGGGCGCCTGGGTGGCTCAGCTGGTTAAGTGTCTGCCTTCAGCTCAGGTCATGATCCCGGAGTCCTGGGATCGAGTCCCGCATCGGGCTCCCTGCTCAGCAGGGAGTCTGCTTCTCCCTCTTACCCTACCCCCTCTTGTGCTCTCTCTCTCTCCGTTTCAAATATATAAAATAAAATCTTTAAAAAAAAAAAAGGCATATTCTGTACAAATGTAGCCAACCAGGGAGTCAAGGTAACAGGCAACAAGCTCCGGGTGGTCAAAGCGAGAGCAATAGGATATACCATCTTTGAAACAGGAGTTGGTTAGTGAGCCTTCCATGAATTTCGTATATGAAAGGCTTTTACCCACTTTTCTTTTGTAGAAGGATAAACTAATTAATACTGCATTTCTGCTCTTAATCCTCATAGTGACCCTATAAAAGAATTAGGGCAATAATTACAGACCTCATTTAAGAATGAGAAAATTAAGGCCCAGAGAGTTTAAATGACCTTAGGCCTGAGCTGCACCAGTAATGGCCCTTCACTCAAGTTTTCTAACCCTAGAGTTCATATTTGCTCAGTCAGTCATGCTGAAGCTGAAGCTTGGAAAGACAAGTTCCATCTCCCTGTCACCCAACATTCAAGTTCCTCCATTGCTTGTCAGCAGTGCCTGAGTCCCAGTCTCTGCCATTGTCTTGTTTCTCCACTGAGACCACCAGGCTCCCATAGGAAAACTGGAGCCCACCTGAATTTCTAGAACCCACTGACCTTCGATGGACAAGACTCAGAAGTTCTAGCCCTATACTCTGGGACTCAGTAACACATTACACAGGGAATAAGTATGGCCTGGACCTTGTGCCCAGACCTATTTCAGAACCTCTTACTTGCCCTCTTCCTTTTCTAGAGGATCTGTCTTAGTGATGTCACTCCTGCTAGAGTTAGGGCCCTGCCATGCTCTTGTCAGTTTCCCTTACCACTGCCACAGCTTAATATCTTGATCCCAAATTTCAGCCTTAACTTTTCTGATGCTACTAGGCTACAACCTTAACTCTCTGAAGCTGATTCCCATGAGATACTACCCTCCTACTGCAGATCATATCTTCACCTTCCTGGCTTTGACCTGAACCATTTTCATGAATTATCTGTTGATTGCATATCCCCTCAGGTTCTACAGCTGTTGTAACTTTTCAGAGTTTTCCTCTCTTGATCTCTTCTGTCACCGTAAGATAGGCATGCCCAGCTTCTAACAACCTGGTCCCAAACTGTGTGTCCCATTTAGCCCCCTAATGAACCCATGAGCTCTACCAAGCTGGTCATTTTCTTCTTCTGGATGCGTATTCTGAATATCTCTGCCCCATAACTTTGTCCTCACCATACTTAATGAAATGCCACCACCTCTTTGGGTAAAATTTAGGCGCCTACTTCTGTTCATCCCAACAACCTCTTGAGTTCTTTCTCTTTTCTGAACTCAGAATTGTCTGCGCAGACATGTGACCTCTTAATTATAATAACCACCCTGAGAGCTCACACCATATAGTATTTGGTGTGTACCAGGCACTGCCCTAAACACATTACAGCAAGCCTATAAAGTAGGTGCACTATGATTATCCCCATTCTATAGACAAGGAAAGTGAAGCCCAGGGAGTCAAGTTATTGGTCTGAGGTTTTATAGCAAGTGAGTGGCAGAACCAGGATTTGAACTAAGGCAGTCTAGCTCCAAAGAACATGTTTTTAACATCCATGCCATCTACCTAAATTCATGACACTTAGGGTGTGCCTGACCCGGCGCAGCCTCAGACATCTCCAGTATTGTCACTTAAGTCTTACATTGTATACCTTGATTCCTGCTTATCATCTTGCTCAATGTTGTGTCTATTTCAACATAATGTCATTTATTTGGAGTATGGGGGTGAGGCAGAGACCCTTTGGTTGATTAGCTTGAACTTCCAAAACTTTAGCTTGAACAACAGAGTTCTTTTCCACCTTTTTTTCTGTTTCCACCCTGGGGAAGTTCAGTCCTCATGTTCACCAAGCTGTATTCTATGACCCAGTTCACCCACTAGGCTTCACACCCCCTCCCACAGGCGAGGCTGAGCGAGATCTAAATATTGCCTTCCCCGGGTGCCCCGTTTCAGACTTGCAAGGCCTTTTACCTGTGAAGCAATGATTAAAAATCTTCTTGTCCTTCTCTAGATTCAGCTCTTTTATTCCTTTCTCCGTATCTTTCATGGACAGGTACAAGGCACTGTGCAGAGATGAAAACAGACAGGTGAGTGAGGAGACTTTCAGAGTGGCAAATCCTCTCTGGAAGTCGCCACCACAAAGAGGCTGGCCAGGACCACAGGCTTCCCCCATCCTCAGGCAGCCCCTGAGCCTAGTCTCTCCACTGGATCATAAGTAAAGGGCTGGGCTCATATTTGGGTAATTCTGTGGCTCAATACTTTCAGCATTGAGCAAAATATACTAGGAAGGCACCTAATGTCTCTTACATTCATTAAGGTCTTTAGTGATTTAACTTTGAGTGCCTGAGGTAGAGAGTTACCCCAGTTAGGTGCCAAGATGAGAGGTTCTCAGGACCAATTGTCCATACACATTCTAGATCTTTAATTGCCCTCAATCCTCGTGTCTCAGTTCTTTAAGTGTCCTTCAAGAGACCATCTGTTGTTGATAATTGCCTCCAAGAAAGTGAATGTTTTGACTACGCTTTTCTCTTATTCTAAAAATTGAGAGACAGCAAGTTCTCATTTTTGTACTTGAAGTAATAAATTAAAAATGGCCTTATCAGAGAAATTGCAGACCACAAAACAGAAGTCCACTTTCATGCATCCTGTGGCTCTAAGGAGCACAAGCCTCATTCCCACCTAGCACTGACCCCTGTGGCCAGAAACATGGTCACTTGCCGACCCTTCCCAGCAACTACAGCTGGACTGGGCACTGCCGCTTTACCAAAAAGCTTTCTTGGTGAGGGAAGGTGCTTATTCTCACCAAGCTCAAAGCGCAAACTTTATTAAATCCCTGTGATATGCTAAGACCTGTGTTGGGCATGCAGGAGGGGTTTTTTCAGTCTCCTCCTAGAAACCCTTCCCATTTTATAAACAGAATCCTTGTTGGACATGTTAAGCAACCAACATGGAATTCTTCCTGGCAGGGCTCCTGTCCCAGGATATGTTCAACATAAAAAACAAAACTAGCAAGAAGTGAAGAGACTCTAGGGAAAAAGGAGATGTGAAACATGCACGAAGGAAGAAACCTTGTTCCCAGTCCCTGGCAGGTGCTGAATTTACCTGTGAGCCTCTGCAAACCTTTAGGCAACAACTATCACCTGCAATTCCAAACCAGCCAACATAAGAGACCATTAAACCAAGTCAGGGCATCAATGGCTTCTGCCCAGAATGGGTGTTCACCTTGACTGGCTCTTGTTGGCTGTGTAAATGCAAGAACTTGAACTTGAAACCTTACCTGCTTTGACACATAGCCCCTGCCTTTTTCTACCTATCTAGAGATCCTGAACCTTACTTTCAAGACTAAGTTATTATGGCTACTTCATAAATACAATTATGCATTCTCTCTCTCTCTGCCAAGATTGCCCAAAATGAGGGAATTTATACTCCATTAGCCTCCTCTCCTTAGCTGCTAGGCTTTGGAGAGGCTATAATCACTCCTTTAGACTTATGTAAACATGTCGGTATACCAAGCGCCAGTCTCAACTTGGAAGAGTGGATACAGCCTTCAGAGGTGACCAAAGCAAGCCTTGCAGCAGGATCTGTTGTAAGATTTCCATAGCAGGAAGGTGAGGGGTTGGGGGATGAAGAAGGGGTGGAGTGAAGCAAACACAGAAAAATCACCCTAAGTCAACGGTTTCTGGCAGCCGAATGGACCTCCTGGTGGATTTCCTTGCAAACTTTTGACCTCCTTCAATGCATTTAATGGCCTTCTTGGTGTCCCGAACCCAGGCATCTCTCTCCTCCAGGAAGGCTGCCTGGAAGAAGTGGTCCTGCTGTTTGGTCGTAGTGATCTTAAACACAAACTAAAAATCAAAACACATCCCATTAAGAATGATTCTTTTCAAAGGACTGAGGTCCCTTATGAAGCACAGCAGCTGAGTCAACCTCATTCTGGAAGTGCTTGGCCAACAGAAACCCAAATGCCCAGGGTGGAGTGTGGGTGGTGGTGAGAGGAACAGACCCAGGGAGCACCATTCACGCTGTGGGCTATCACAGGCTTAAAGGTCAGTGCATGACAAAGTGTCCACTGTGGCTAGAGATGTTGACTCACCATCCTTTTGCCAAAGTCTTGACAAGGGCTAGTCAGTGTGCTTCCTTTCAGGGGAATCATTCCTTTGGGGCTGTTGTCACTTTTCTTCTTATAGAATTCAATTCCATCTTCTAACAGTACAACCCACATGGGTTTCCAGGTGTTGAACACACTTCCCTGTAATGACAACAAAAAGAGCTACACAACAATGTCTTCTAAAACTATTCTATAGATGGTGCATAACTTGGCAAATAGCCTAGCTTTGGCCAGTGTGGATGCAGGTGATGCACATTTGTGTGACCAGGCTGGTGGGAAAGCAGCCTTCAGGAGAGAAGGGGACTGCCATTCAGATGGAAATTTAAAAAAAAATGTTTTTAAGATAAAATATATATGCAGCTATAAGCAGGTCTTAAGCTTCCCATGGGCCATTACCAAGGGAATATGATATGGCTCTCTATTCTCCTTCTTATGCATTTCAGGCTGGCTTTCTGTGGCTTATTTTCTGCTCCCAACTCTGCCCACTGTGTTCATTCCACTTAGGGATTGCAAATAGATCTCAAGTGCCAATTCAGACTGAAGAGTAGCTGATGCCTGAGGCCAGACTCACTGGAAAAGTGTCATAATCCAATAGCTGTTTTGACCATGGGCATGGAAGCCCTAAGTGGTGGAATGCTAGCTGCAGTTACTTCCATCCTTTGGCCTCATCAGATTTTATGGGAATATGAACATCAAGAAGAAACTCAGAGAGCAGCCTTGTGTATGAGCATGGATAAGTTGTATGAAAATCACTTGCAAAATGTCCTGTAACTTCAGAGTGAATAAGGAAAATCCTTATTTAAAATGTTTTCCGTTGGGGTTAATGCCAACCACACTTGTAGCAATAAACTAACCATTCTGACTACATCACGAAAGTCTCTTTCTTGTCTATATTTTGGGAGGACTTTGGAAAAGGAAGAGGTTCTTTGCTTCTCATCTTTGAACCCATGGTGTCACCTTGTCATGACTACCACAAAACAGAATTATCATCCAGCTTCCAGCAGATCCTGCTGCTTATCTTAAAATACAGAGAGCTTCTATATGAAGGTCCAGTTGCCCAAAAGGAAGACTGTTTATGCAACAAAGATAAATACTTGCAGACTATCGTTTTGCTTGTCCAAGTGTTTCCTTTGTTTTAGTTACTGAAAAAATAATTTTAAATTAGAACACACTATCTCTTTTCTGCACAGGCAGAATAACTATCCATACTACCACTGGTTTATTTCCCTGTTTAAAAAAATAGGCAATGTCAGACCCCATGCCAACACATGAAATAATAATACCTTTCTGTTTTATATCTATCTGAGAGAAACTCATATTCAGAATATAAAGAGCTCCTGCAAATTAGTAAGAAAAATACAATCTATTTTCTAAATGGGCAAAAGACCGAAAGAGACTTTTTGTTAAAGAGGATACCCAGAAAGCTTCTGAAAAGGTGTTCAAAATCATTTTTCACCAGGGAAATGCAGATTAAAACCAAATGAGATACCTCTACACACCCACGAGAGTATCTAAAATTAAAAAGATTAAGAAGAGCAAGATTTGGCACAGATGGTAACTGGAACTCCCATACATGGCTGGCAGGAGTGCAAAATGGTCCATCCAATTTGGAAACCGGGAGAATGTCCTACTTCTTAGAAGATATATGTTGAAGTATTTAGGTGTGAGGTAGCATGATGTCTGCAAATTATTCTCAAAGATCTCAGGGTAAAAATGTGTGTGTGTGTGTGTGTGTATGTGTATTTATACAGAGATACAGAGGTAGAGAGAGAGAAAGCAAATGCATCCTTGTGTTAACAGTTGATAAATCTAGGTAATCTACTGTTTTTCCTATTTCTCTGTGGGTTTGAAATTTTTCAAAATAATTGAGAAAAATTAATAAATAAATGAACAACCCATGGCACTACTATATATCAAAATTCAGGATATATTTTTAGAGAAATATGGGAAATCTATCTAATAAAAAAGCAAAATAACTAAAAATAATCAAAGATCTATTCACAGAGGTAGGGGCAAGAAGTTGGGCTAGATGACTGCAAAAATGCCTTTCAAGTCCAAAATTGTATATCCTACTTCAGGCCTTATCAAAGATTTATAATGGCCATAATGACTCAGGGCTTTTGACCTTGGAACTGGGATAAACTGGGAGAGGTCAGCCAGCACTGCATTCCTTCTGTAGACAATTAAAATAAAGCTACTCCAGAGCCAACTGTTCAAAAGGAGTTTGGGCTCTCCTAATTCAAACGTAGCCTTAGGGCCTCCGTCAGCCCACTCAGAGGAGAATGTGTCATCTGGGATTCAGGCTCATGCACTGAAAGGAGGCCGAAGTTCCATAAAACAAAAGAAATCTGACCATTTATAAAGTGGAAGCTTGTCTTCCAGGCTTGGCAGTGGTGAATTAGGTTAAGGTGGTGAAATTGTGTGTGATCTCTCTCCTCTCAGCTATTTGTGCAGCTGCTCGCTGGAGTAACCTGACAGCACCTCTCCTCAGCCACCCCTATATTCACCCCTTCTGTCCCCAAGCTTCCTGATGCCCATTCAGTAGCACACCTGGGAGTGTGATCATGGAGCGTCCGTGCCAGAAAGGCATTTAGGATCATCTACCAACACTCATCATACAGGGAAGAATGTTGAGGCCCATTTAAGTGACTAGACCTAGTCCACCTGCCCAGCTGACTAGAAGCCAGGTCTCCTGATTCTCAATTTTATGCTCTTTCCATTTTCCTTCAGATGCCATCTTCATTTCTGTTCTTACATAACTGTGAGTAATTCTGGATTTTAAATGAAAATCTTTAGGCCACTTAGCCGTATATATAAGCTCAAATATATATGCACATATATATAAAAATATATATCATAAATGTATAATATTTAATGTATATTACATAATTATAAACATAGGGACTTGTTTATAATCGAGTAAAAATAATCGTGTAAATAATCATAAAACATACCTAAACCATATTATATCATGATTTTATAGATATGTTTCATGTTTTCATACATATATAGAACATATGTCTGTTTTTTCCCATTATAGGCCAAAACCTAAACAATTTCATGTCACAATGGGCTGGTTTTAGATGCTGAGTCAGATTTAAAATTTCTGGGCAAACAACTGTTCATCATCCTGGGACTGGTATACCTTAGCGAACAAGAGTCTGACAATGCATGACACCAAAGGAAGAAACCTCAAAGGACAAGATATTTGGTCATATACAAAATTACACTTCTATACATTAAAAAAAATCCTATAACAACCGAAAAGCAAATATTAATGTGTGGATATTTATAACGTATTCTCATATAATTAAAGGTTAATGTTTTTAATATATTTTTTAAACACATTAGAGTCAAGTAGAAATATACAAACACTCTTAATTTTTTAAATGGGCAAACAATATACACAGGCAATTCTCAGAAGAAGAAAAGCCTGGATTGAATAAACACGAAAATGCACTGCTTCAACAGCATTCAAAGAAATGCAAATTAAAATGAAACAAGATATAATCTTTTTATTTAATAAAATTTTTCAAAAGATGTATAAAATGTATTGGTGAAAATTTGGGGAAATTGCCATGTGAAAAAAAAAAAGGAGCTCTGTGAGTCAGCAGTTTGATGTGGGCTGTCAAAAAAATTCAAGTCATTGTAGGCTATATAAATAGAAGCACAAGATCTAAAGTGATGAAAGTAATATTCTAACTTTAAATGGAGAATAGCCAGCAGGTGACCATGGATCTGGAGCTGAATAGCCCAGGCTCAAATCCCAGCTCTGCCACATTCTAGTAATGTGACCTTGAGCAAGTTTTTAAACCTCATTTTCTACATCTGGCTAATGGGGATAATGCTACTATCTCTTTCTTAGTGTTATTGGGAGAGTAAATAAAATATTCCGTGTAAATTGCTTAGGGGAATATCTAGAACACAGTAAACACCCAATAAATACTCCTTATTCCCTGTAATTCTGTGCTCATAAGTGCACCTGGAGAATGGCCTTGAGTTCAGGAAACCTCAAAGCTGCAGATAACCGGGGCCTGTTCAAAAGAAGGTGACAAGTTGGCATCTCTCTCTCTCGGAGAATTACTGGGGGAAGCAGCTAGGTTTTGGCCCAAAAGGGGACAGGTAGAGCAGATGAGGACTGTCTTCAAAGGTGTGAAACATTATCATAGACTGTTTGGAGGCCCAACAGGTGGAGGTTTCAGAGGAAAAAAAAAAAACAAAACAAAAAAACAGTCTGCTGCATAACTTAAGGGAGAAATTTAAATTAGTGAGTTCCCTGTCACAAGAGGTATTCCAGCATGTTTGTTAGTGAATTAGTAAAACAAATGTAAGCCACACATGGGAAAGGTCAATGAAATACTTATTAAAATACTCAATATTCCTTTCAACTCTCAGATTCTACACACCTATTCCAAAAAACCTATTGTCCTTTCTATCCCTTGAGTCTTCTATTTACAATGCCCTGCCAAACCTTGGGCGTCACCTACAAGCCAAAAATAAATATATCTTAAAGACATTTAACATGATCATCTAAAACTGAATATTCCATTGGAAATGTTTCCTAATACTTTAAAAGTTACTATAATACGGAACCCTGATTACTTGGGTCTATTTCCGGCAGATTTCTTTCTTTGAGACACCGTCATTCAGCACATTAGAGTAAAACAACTCCTGTGCTTCAGACACAGGCCTGGGGGTTGGGGTGTAAAATTGACCAAGAGGCAGTCTCTGCTTAAACTGTCCCCACCTTAAGCGGGGGGAGAGAGCAACCTTCATCAACAGCTCCAGTTAAGTGTGACCAGCGCACAAACAGAGGCAATGTTTTGTGTGGCTTCGCTGAAAGAAGCCATGACTCAATGCTGTGGGTTGGGGCAATTTGAATTTGGTGTTGCGAACCCCTCCCAGACGCCTCCCACAGAGTGCAGACACCTCCTTTAACTTCCTTTCCCTTCCCCTCAGACTTCTCTTTTCATACGTTGCCATTGCCGCTTAGCTGGAATTCAAAGGAAATCGTATTATGAGCAAAACTACAAAAGCAGAACTGTGAATAAGTGTCATCTATCCTCCCATACTCATGGGACAGGTCATCTTAAGTTGCTGTTGTATTAAAGTCCTGATTTCTGCTACCTTGTAAATTGTAT